TTACCCAAGTGATTCTGGTACCGGTACATCACAAGCCACACGTACCCCAGTCTAACACATACATATTCTCCACCCCACCTCGCGTGGGAGAGCCGATCGTCCCTTAACACTTTCGACTTGCGAGCAATGTTCCTCTATTGAACGCCTCCACGTGGTTCAAACTTTGTTGACCAAAAGCAACCTAGTACCTGGCCTCTACAGCCGTATTACACCGGCAGTTGGATACTCTAGAAGTAGCATAAATACCAATTAATGATTCAGTTATATCTATATATAGGATCCGCCTTGGGCTTGGATCCTTTGGTGACCTCATCATGGTTTTGGGCTGCTGCCTCAAGGAGTGACGCATACTCGTCGAAAGTAAGTGGTCTGTTGCTGTTCTACAAGGCCAATTGCTCGCTAGTGTCGAAGACGTTGCGAAGGTATGGCACGAGTCTGACAGCATTGGACAACATGACGATGAGTTGCTCCTCGGGGGTCGGATGCTTTGCTACCTCATGGTACTGGCGGAGGGTATCAAGCCAATGGAAAATGAAAGACAAATGACTACCAGGCCATTGGTCTGCGGTGAGTTGAGCGTTGTTAACCATTGCAACTTGGTGTTAGCAGTAGAAGTGGCCTTGATAGACTGAGTATAAAACTTGCATAGATCCCGGTAGATGGACTGGTCATCATAAGTCTTATTGTAGCGTCTAACAATCTTCTTGCCTTGATCGGTGAGGAGAGTCCGGACAAACACCCGATACAAGAAGGATTGGTGTCTGTCAAAGAGATCTTGTTCATTGAGGCTGGTGGGCTGGTACTTGGGATCAAGGACCTGTTTCAATCCATGAGTACAACAAGTAGCCTCTAGATTATGACGGTAGCTATCCCATTGCTTATCATCAGACAAAGTTGGATAGAGATTAGCATCAAGTTTAATGCCCCAATCAAATTCCTCAGCTGGTGAACGTAAAGATGGCTTGGAGACGAGAGGCTATGGGATGGTGCAACTACGGAACATGATGAATGTGCTGGAGTCCCTGTATGTACCAAAATCATCAGGGTCAATGAGGACACAGTTAGTCAGAGTGACTGGGTCCTGAAGCACAGTTTCTTGGTGGTAGACGTAGCCACGGATCTCATGGAGATATGCCTTAAGTGGTTTTGGCACATCCCGAAGTACATCAGGTTGGGGATCACCGTTGGCGTCACATGGCTGACTGACAGGATACTGTAGACCGTCAATATCAGCATCATCCATGCCAATAAGCTTGAGGTAACATTTGCAACCGTATAAGTCAAGTGCTAGATGAAGGATGCTGCCTGCACTGTAGCAAAAGACAGTTTCCAGGATGTACACAAGACTTGTTTCAAGATGTTCAGGTTGTAGGACTCGAGGCAGGTTGCGGTTTGTTGTTGAGTTGCCAGCAGTGGACATTGTCACTCGTGTGCCTGACGGTTGAGTAGTACTAGTGGCAGGCAGTTGAGTGTTGTTGGTATCAATGTTCAGAGCTTGCAATTCTCTTTGGCCGATCCGGACCATGCGCGAGTTGACTCAGAGGAATGGAACTCAGTCGACTTAGTTGATCAGAAGATCAGTTGACTGGTTGGAGTCGATTATCAATGAAATTAATTAATAAAAACTATTATTATTTCAGAGGTAGCCGTTGCTATGACTATCAATCCTCCAATCCTGTGAGAAGCCGAGCACAGGAACAATCCTTCGTCAATGGCCAAGCTGATAGGTAGGATGGGACACAGCAGGGAGGACCAGAGACTTGACTGGCCTGGAGTAGCAAGTTAGAACCCCTGGAAATGCAAGCACTGCAAACAAACCAGCCTACTACAGGTAGGATGACCCTGCGAACTCTAATTTGTGTACGCCCTGAGTTTGAGGACGGTCCTAACATTGGACTGGAACCGGTGCGACGCCAAAGTAAAAGAAAACAACACGCCTGAACCCACTGTTGCACAACAGAAGGCTCGTTTCCTGATGTGTTGGTGTAGAACTGCGGGATTGGGCGCACAATTGCCCTTTCCAGATCGTTTTACTTCTCATTCGCACCAAGAAGGCGATCTCTCCCTTTTGAGACTTCTACCACAGAAGCTATTCAATCAAAAAGAGAAATCAAATCCCTTGCTCCGTTGGAAACTCCTGACGACAAGAAGGAGGTGAACAGGGGCAGCACAAGCTGGCAAGACTCAGCGCTTTCTTGAATTAAGATACTCCAAATCGAATGGCAAGGGCGATAGGGCCGCACAATACCAACACTCCACAATAAGCCAAAAAACTCTGTGTCATCGTGGAACCAAAACTTGAAAAATAACTCGTTGCCAATCGTCGTGGAACCAAAACTTGAAAAATAACTCGTTGCCAACTGAAAGATCTGGGTATGTAAAACCCCAAAGAATTATTCAATTCAAGTGGCGGTAGAACTTGCGGAACGCTTGAAATTGATCCGCGAGTTGTTGTGTAGGTCGTCTTTGTTGATGGGACGACTTCCGAAAAGTTGATTGTCTTCGTCGGTGAATGAAGACGACTTGATGAACGATCTCTGATGGCGAGATCGCGGCAGTTAGCTGTAGGCGTAACTGCGGCTGTTAATCTGACAGAAATAAATGAATATAAACTATAAGCCTATAGTTGACTAGTTTTACGAGATGATGGGTATCAAATCAGGTAAAAAGCATGCAGTGAGGATCGGAGGATCCTCGCTTGTTTCTGTTGGGAATTCATGTGCGCGTGTAAGAACTAATGAAGTACTGTTGGGACTAACAAAGTACTTGTGGAAAATCCAGGTTTATATGGATTAAAAGTGGTCTTCAGGCGTGACAAATAGATAGGATATACGGGTAGCTGGGTCAGAACCAGCTTGTCACATTTTTGAGGACCAGACTGGCTGTTTTAGCCAACAGTTTCATGCAGAATATTACACATTACGGAATCTGCCACGTCAGTTCTTTCTACCATAATATCACTGGCTGAGAGCGGTGCTGTGGACGTACAATACGCACGACAGACAGGCTTTACTTCAACCGTGAATGATTATGGTCCGGGTCACGAATCCCGTTCCTGATAGAATTCTGTCACCTAGACTTCAATTTCACTCTGTCAAATACAGAGCAGTCTTTCAAAAGGAATGAGCTGCAACTCAGTTGCGGCTCGTTTACCAACCTATGTCACAACCTCTTTGGTACGTAGCTTTCCACTGACATGCTACTGTACCTTCTTCGCACATGACACACGTACTTGGGCGTTCGATTCATTCAGTCCGTCCTACACCTGCAGTCGCGAATGGAATTTTGCTCCTCACCGTCTGTCCCCCTCCCCTTTCGCTGCACGTACGACGGTCATGCCAACATTAACAAAAGTTCCCAAGTTTCAAGTTTCACGGATCGGAATATTCATAAAGTTCGTAGTTTACATCGAAAAACGGGCAATGCCATGGCAGAAAGACCTTCTCCGAACTCTATTGCAGTTTGCTCCCTTATTGCACTGCACTCTGACCCCTCTTCGCCTCTTCATGATTTCCAATTAAGCCAAGAAACACAGAATAGTCTGACAATTTTCTTGGAAGAAACTGCATCCGCAACTTCTGATGATACGAGCCTGAAATTTTTGCTTTACAAGTCTCGCAATGAATTAGGCGATGAAATTACTTCCTTGCTGAAAGAGACTCTAGAAATGGCTGTAGAGTCAATCGATTCCTTGATTGATTTGATGGACTCTCTACGAGCTGCTATCAGCGAAGGGTTGGTCGATCCTTCAAGTTCCCATGGCATTTTTCTTCGAGGCGTTTGTTTGGGATTCGAGGACTTGTCATTTGAGTCCATCGCTCAGCTATGGGAAAATTTGAGCGACTGTCTTCGCAAGCCTGAGAATACACCGCAGATACAGCAGGAATGGTCAAGAAATTCGCTATGGCATCCTTCAAGTAGCCAGATGGAGCGATTTGTGAGGAAAAGCTGTGGTGACTTTGAGCTCGGCCATAGTAGCCTTGAATCAGTTCTTTCTTTTGAAAGCATGGAACTGCAGCTGCAATCTTTGTTACAGAGGAACCCTGATCTTTGTGCGGCGTACTTCTTGAGATTTTTGAATTGCTTGCGAAACGATGAACGAGGAGGGGCGATCCAGGCACTCCACCAATACTTTGACCAAGCAATGGTTCAACGAAAGATGCCGAAAGATATCCTGCAGTTTTCCGCAATTCTGCTTGCTATGGCGCACAGTTCATTTGGTGATGCTGAAATGTCTCTAATGGCGACGGAGGAAGCTGTTCGAGTCGCGCAACAGTCAAAGGACAGAGATGCATCTTGCGTGGCTTTTGCATTGGGATGGTTGTTCGAGAATGATTACAGCGGCACCATAGATCGGCGACAACTTTTGCAGCGATGTGCCACTCGAGCTTTGCAAGGTCAGCTTCGTCCTCTAGTCTCTGGGGCAAACTTGTCTTTAGCGACCCACCTTGCTTCGGAAGAAACGCAATCATTTACCCCTTTGGCATGGATGACTCTACTCCGTGCCACTACAGTACAAACGGTGGATGGCCTGGTCAACCTTGATCGTCCTACTCATATTTCACAGGTTCCAAGTGAAGGATTAGAAAGTGTAGCAAAGCAAGTGATGGTGTCAGCAGCAATTTGGGCATCCTTCAATGTACCTGCTCTAGCAGGTATATCCTCTTCTATGGCATTGGAATACAACGCACACCTCTTCAAAGGCGATGTATGTACAGCAATCGAAAATATTTCCCTGCTTTCATTGCACGGGTTTTCGTTCCAATTTCTGTCAAGAGATTTAGCCGGCGGCAGATGCGTCTATTCGCAAGCTATCTTGTCGTTGATCGAGCTTCAAAAGCGACTTGGATTTGGCTTTGACACTCTCAGAGTCCCGTTTCTCCATAGAGCACTCCTATTTCTCTTAGAATGGTCGGTTAATAGATGCGATCTTGGCGATGCAAGAGCGTTTTCCATCGCGCTTGATTCGTCCATTCACAGTGGACAATCGAACGCGTACCAGCTTGAGATTGATTTTGGCCTACAGAGATGTCGGCAGTTTTGCCGGGAGAAAGACTGGCAAAATGCTAGAATATGTGCGACGCGATTGCTTGATATTTCCAATTACAGACACCTGAAAACACATCGAGCGCTTGTCCTTGTCAATCAGGCTGTCGTAGAACTTGAAGCAGATTCAAAACAACTCGTCGCTCCGCTCTGCCCACTGTTGGAAGCGCTATCATATTGCGAAAAGCATGAGATGCATGGGATGCATGCTGTTGCACTGTCTGTCCTTGCAAAGGTGCACCTGCGATCGCAACGACCAAAACATGCGATAGCAATTCTCACTAGTGTCCTTCCGAGCCTGCAACAACACGAACATGTGCTGTTCCAAGCTGAGGCACTGCTGACACTTTCGAAGTGTCATATTCAGCTGATTAAGCTCGAGACTACCAATGCAATGAATAACACCGCTGCAAGAAACGCTGAAATGAGATTGCTTCAATGCAGAAGCATGTTTGAAGGTTGTCATGATTTGGTTCGATTAAAAGAGGTTTATTATTTGCAAACTCAGGTTTATTCATTTCTCAATAGGTTCGAGGAGAGAGATGCATCTTCAGAGTGTTTCATGGCTGTGTCAAATTATTTTTCTTTGGGATTATCCAGCTTGTTTTTGAAAACTGAATCAGCGAGCTTTTTGGCAGATAGCTTGAAGTTGCGAGCGATACTTGAAAGAGGAGTACTGTTGCACAAATAAGGTTCTCTGAGAAAAGGGCAGAACAGTCATACTCGTACTAAGCGTTCAAATTACTAATGCATCGGCTCTTTGGCGACATGTCTCGGGCTCCTGCGTATTTTTGTACTTTTCGATTGCTTTGCGTTTTCTTTCCCAGCTGCAGACTTCAAGGCCGTCGATCCACTTTCAGAAAGTTTTATGCTCATATACGGCATCCCTGTTTTTTTACCGCTCAGTATCCTGGTGGATTTTCGAGCTCGTAACCTTGGCTGGACACGCTTGTGACGCTTCGAAGCATCGGGCCTTCGCGCAAATTGAGAACGCTTTCCTAGTTTGCTGGAGACTGTCTCGTTATTTGGGCTACCGTCTTTTGCGCTTGGAGTTAGGTCAATCTCGGAATTAGCCCACCCTTCGATGGATGATGTCTCTCTTGGCGCGATATCTTCCGAGTCAAGGCCGTTGTATTGAGTGAAGCGATGAGTCGGAAGAGGAGAAATGCCGCTGGCTTTTTCACTTGTATCCATTTGCGCGGATGTTGACTGACTTTCCGCTCTTTCCAGTGAATGGAGATTTTCATGGGATCCAAGGTTGCTGTCCACCGAAGTGGAATCCGATGACTTGGACCCATTAGATATTGGTAAGTTCGATAAATCAGGCGGTTGGTCTTGCTCTTTCCAGGGAACCTGACTCACCGAATCTCGGGAAGTGATATGCTTCTGTCCGCGCTGGTAGAGGTGCGCTGGGAGGGAGATTTGTCCCGGATAAAAAGCCAAATTCACGTCATTCTTCACATACGACAGAAGCACTTCCCTTGCTGCTAAGCAAACGACCTTTAACTTCGAAGGCGCAAGATGCTGATTTTGAGTATTTGGTCGATAAACTAAGCCCTTTTTGATAGCGCTGTACGCTGTATGCATGATAGGCTCATAACTCCCTAACGCTTCAGTCATTCGAAGCAAGAATGATATATTGTCCGCTGAGTCTCCCAAACTGAGCACCAGTGGATCAAAAAGCCATTTCAATCTTTTTCGTAGAATTCGCTCACCGTTCTCATCAACATGGACTTCCGAGTTTAAGTTCACTTGTGAGGAACTGCCAGACCAGCACAAAGGTGTTTCTGGTCTAAATGAAAGCAAATGAAATGCGTATAGAACGACAAATTCGGGCATTAGCGAGACCTTCATCTTCGATTCAAAGGCCTTCTCCGCTTCTGCTCCGTGCGCTCTAGCTTGTACAGCAGTTGCCTCGAATGCTTTTCGAAGAGCAATCACACATTCCCTTGTGTGGTATCTGATGCTAAGGGCTGTTTTCCCAACATTGGCGGCATTGCCATTTGCTGCTGAGCTGCTCAAACCATTGTCCCCGTCGACGCAAAGTGTAACGAAAGCGATCAATCGTAGAAGGGGGACCATAGCGCTATGGCCCCTGAAATTTCCAAAGCTTCCGTTTCCGGTAAGCATCAAGCTAAGCTCTTTCATAAGAGCTTCTCTTACTTCACGCTCATCTTCCAAAAAGGTTTCAGCTAGGATGTGCCACCGTTCGGTCGTAAGGTGTCTACGATCAAGGCGAAGCCGGGGATCACACAGCCGCAGAACACAAATGCAAGCGCATTGTTTCAAAGCTCGGCGTTCCTCTGCTTCCATTGGTAGTTCATTAATATGGAGCTTCGAGAGACCATGATCCAGAATGATGCGGGTAAGTAGATCGAACATTTGCTCTTCCAATTCTGGATTGTGGACTCTGGGTGAATCTTTTGGCGGTTCCTTCAGAGATATACAATCAGCTCGAATGAAAGACGTGACAAATTGAATAGCGGCACAGTATGTTCGACATGACACCGAGAGCGAGGAATCATCAATAATGCTGTCAGTAGAAGAAGGATCGGACAGCTTTGCTTCCATCTGTTGAGATGTCAATTTGCGGTGACGCCTGGATTGATTGCTTGGTGTTGCCTGATCGATCTCAACATGAGCAGAAGTATCTATTTGATCCCCTTTGCCCGAACCTTGACGACCGAAACGGATTAAATCCAACGCGAATTGGATCGATTGTCTTCCCTTTACTGAGTGGAATACCTCCGACGAGTGCAGTGAAAGCTCTGCAAGAGCAACAAGTATAGTGATGAGCCTTGGGTCAGAATTATCGGAGAGAAAAAGCTTTGAGGGAGCTGTCAAGCTGTCAAGCAGTTCAGTGAAGGCATCGTTTTGCTCTTGAGACAAACTACCCATCTCCTTTACACCGTATAGGTTCGCTATCGTTCCAACAGCGTGACGAGCTTGTTCGGGAGTTCCATCAACTGAACAAAGGTCAAAGAGGTGCTGACTCGCAGTTCGTGAGACATCGATCATACCCTTCATAATGTTGAGTATAAGTAAAACGAATAACATGGAATATCAAGAGAGGGAACTTACTGGTTTCACGTGTGGGGAAATTGAAGACAGGATCGCACTCAAGGTACTTAAAACCCCAAAGCGTGTGATTAACCGGCTCATCTTGTTGCAGGTAACCATACGGCAGCTCACAAAGAGTTCAATCAACGTTCCAAAGCACTCCGTAGTGCTACACAGCTCAGGAAAAGATTCCACTGCAAGATAGACACATTCAAGAAATTTCTGTGAAGATTCAATATCCTCTGCTTGAAAGCATTCGTCAGCAAGAAGAATGCAATGGCGGACTACTTCTTTGTTTATAAACTCCCCCATTGCGCAACGTCGTACAAGTGTCTTTACCCACTTCACGGTATCTTCCCCCATATTCTTGACTCTTTTCGGCAGCTCCTCGAAAGCAACACTGCGGGAAATGTTGCTGTGTGTTGCGTTGGAGATGGTAGCAAGAATTCGAAAAATATTCTTGTCTTTTGCTCTATGAAAGGATTCCAAGATCGGGCTTCGTTCTGCAGCACCCATGGACCGACCACCCGTCATGCAAGCCATCACTTCTAGTTTGTCAAGAGCTTCTGCATCAGCGGCCATTGATTGTTCCGAACCTAAGCAGCATGGGCATGAGACTCTATCCTTGTAGCCACGTACATAATTTATTGGAGAGATGACGTACCTTGAGGATGTTCCTTAATCTTTCGTCGGGCTCCGAGATACTCTCTTGATGCTTTCTGCAGCCTTGAACGCTGCTTCAGTAAATCTCCAACCCATGCGTACGAATTTGAGACAGATTCTTGTTTCAATGAATGAACTAGAATTGCCAGTCCAGCGGACCGTGTAGTTGCACTCAGTCGCTTTGAAGAGTTCGGCAGTTCAGATCCCAATAGAATTTCGTCCATGACAAGAAACACACGATTCCGCAAATCTGGATCTACGGTGTCCCCAAAGCTTGCAGCTTGGAAAATCTTATCAGGGATCCACGAGTAGTTATCTTCACTGACTTGTTGAGCACAAGTTCGCAGGGCCTTCCGCACTGTATCCAGAGAACAATCGTCACCTTCATCTTGAACATTCAACAAATGGTATGCAGTGTAGTTCGTGAAGTAATTTTGTGCCAGTCCTGTCACGGCGTCCTTTCTCTCTTGTTTATTCTTCGCGGATACTCGACTCCCAACTAGCTTCCACAACTCTTGACATAGGATGTCACGATGTTCATGGGCGACGTCACACAATCCATGAATTAGTCTTAGGCGGACTAAATGAGACGAGTCTTCTGTCAGCTGCTTTGCCAAGATATGTTGAGCATCAGCTGAAACCTCTGTCACGTTTGAAGATATCAATATAAGGAGGTATTCCACCATCATCAACCGGATTTTTGGATCTATGTCGTTGGTTCTTCTGAGCCACTCTCGAAAGCAGGAACGAAATTGGACAGCAAGTTTTGCGTCATCTCCACAGAACAAACGACCAAGCAACCTAACTACCATTAAGCGTTGTTCAAGTTCTGGGCTTGTGAGATAGTTGGAAAGCGTTCCAATAACTGTTGTCAGTATGGATGGCGCAATCCGATGAAATTCGTATACAACGTTCCAAACGTTTGCAACCGCTGATTGATCTTGTTGCTTTGGATGATTCAGCTTGAACTCTCCGGGAACTGTGTTTAGTATGGAAGATTCAGCAACCACTCGCGGATCTGTGTTCAAAAGCCCATTCAGCAGGTTTGCAATTGGTGTCGAAAGACGATCAACAGTCTTCCGGATTATAGCAGAAGCGACAACATAAGACGGATTTTCTTGCTCCACTTGGTGAGGTGGCCATGTTTTCGTCCTCCTCCCACTCTTTTGCTGCTTGGCAACTTCCGCGGCCTTAGATGGGTCAGTGACAAGTACAATGGGGCCTTGTCCGACACAAATAAGCAATTCGTCCAAGAGGGCTGTAGGAATTAGCACTCCCTCACCATACTCCTCAAGGCATCCTGATATCGTCTTTTGAGTCATTTCGAATACTTCGTGGGGGTGATGAGTCCTGACTGATTGAAGAATTGTCCGAAATAGTTCCGCGAGGACACTGAGTGCTTCGCCCTCATTTCCATCCTTGTGCAACTCTACAAGAAGGACGGCGATTTTCACTTCGGCAAGTAGTTCAAGAATTCGCATATAAGAGTGAAAGTTTGGTTGCTTCGGCGATGTAGTGTGGGCAAGACTTGCTAACTGTCGAATTGTTTGCCGAAAAATCTTCAGAGTATCCGACTTATCCCAAGGAGCGTCAGGAGCATAAATCGTGAAAAGTTCCATACAAGCTGAGACTGCAACATTGCGTACTTCTTTGTCTTGGTGATCCACAAACTGGGTTAAAGACAAGCAAAGTCCCGCTAACCCAGGATATTCAGGCGCATTGGCTTCAATGCACTCGTCGTGCTGTAGAACTTGGAGGATTTTGCGCATGCGATGGATCAAGTCTTTCTGGAATCCAAGCGAGTTGTCGTTCGAATCATGCAATGCACTTTAGACACAGCAAAATATAAGACTATTTCCTTTCGAGATGCTTACCTCGCTTGAATGTCTCATCAAATATTTTGCGGTGAGAATGCTAGTATCACATGAGTGATCTGGTGGTGTACCCGTAGATGACGCGGGGTCACTCATTAGCTCACGATCGTATTTATTCTTGATTCCAACAGCTGCAAAATATCTCTTTTCCTGAGACGAAGACTCAAAGTTGAATGAACCTTCAACTTGATTTGGTGATATGCAGCAGCTACGATGTACTGGGCTTGAAACGAAAGCCTAGAGCAGACACTCCCAACAGAACCAAATTGGAACTTCTGCAATTGTCAAACGATCACGATTGAAAAATCGAAATGTCTGCCACTCGCCCCACACCGTTTTTAGCGCGAACTCACATCATGGAGCTGGTCTCTCTTCCTGTTGGGATATGACGAAATATGAGTTTTTACGTTCCAAAAGAAACTATTCAAGTACAAGGTTTTAGACACGTGCGATCGGACTTTGATCGTGATGTTGGGATTCGACGCAAGTCTGCCGGACAATCTATATCCACACGAAAAGGGAAAGACCCAATACAAGTGGAATATCAATGCTGTGTATGATGCAGTAGGGAATAATACAAGATGTCCCAAAGTACTGTATTTGACATAAAATCCTCGTAGAAGTCGAATCGAGTTCTGTAAACAAGGGATTTTCCAAGGGAAAATCGTTGAACTCACTTTTGTGATTGAATCATCAATTCAAGCCAAACATTAATCAAATAGGAACAATTTCACTC